ATATTTCAGGCACAAGCCACCATTCATGGCCTTCTTCCATTTTTTAATCTACTGTTTCCAAATCGCAGAGCAACAGGGAGAGCATCTGAACTGTCACACTGCTTCTACAGAATGACTAAATCTTTTCTTCCTCATATTCTTTGATTATTCAGTGACGGCATAACCAAAAGCAAATTTTTGTTTCCTATTTATATCAACCCCTTTAGTTGAGTATAATTTATCATAAGTTCACTGTGATTATTTTCTGAATGCCTTCCAAAGCCAAAGGTATAGTTCCTACCTTTTCTATTGATTTCACCTGAAAATTATTAGGTCCCTTTTTCATTGTAGTTATCATTTTAATGCTATGTCCATTATATTAATTTCATTTTACATGCATTTATTGAGTGCTACCTAGGTACTAATTAACCATTGGTAATATGCCAGTTAATAAAACAGATAAAAGTAGAAAAAAGGAGACCTGGCAAATTCTAGCTATATTTTGAAAACACAATTATTCTAGGGTATCTCAGTACTTAACTTGTTATAGTTAGTTAGATATTGTGTCATCTAAATTTTTTCAGTTCCTGAATTTCTGACAAAAGTAGCAAGAGTTCAAATACTGAGAAATATCCCAAAAGTTGATTGATATGCACCATTTGTCTCTGAGTTCAAATGGAAAACAATACTTCTGGTGTCAACAAGATATTATAACGAATAGAAGATCAGGGCATCAGATGTGAGGCATTAAAAAGGAGTCATAAATAAGGCTAAGGTTTTAGGGTTGGACAACTGGAAGGATGAAATTCTTATTAATCAAAATGGAGATGACTTGGGTAAAGAGTTTTGGAGGGATACAATTTTTTAGGTTAATATTAGATGTTCAATTTGGGATATACTATATGTTGTGTCTATGAGATAGTCAAGTGGAAAGATTGTGCAGACGATTGGATATCTGAGTCCAGAGTTCAGTAGAAAGAACTAGAGCAGAGAGAGACATTTTTAACCATCAGAATGTAGATGAAATTTAAAATCATGATATCGTATTAATATAAAATCACCAAGGGAGCATTTATAGTCAGATAAATCTACAAACAGAGACCTGCATCATTTAAATCATAAGAAATAATCAAGAAAAAAAGTATCACTAGAAAAGGAGATCAAGAAGGAACAGGAAGGTTTGAGGAAAACAAAGGGGATATATAACCCTAAAAAGTATCTTAGTCCATTTGTGATGCTATAAAGGAATATCTGAGGCTGGGAAATTTATGAAGAAAAGAGGTTTATCTGGCTCACTGTTCTTTAGGCCATACAAGAAACTGCTTCCAGCATCTGCTTCTTGTGAGGACTTCAGCCTGCTTCCACTCATGGTGGAAGGCAAAGGAGAGCTGTTGTGCACAGATCATATGGTGAGAGCATAAACGAGAGAATGAGAAGGTGCCAGGTTATTTTCAACAATCAGTCCCTGTGGGACCTAAGAGTGAAAATTCACTCATACCCAGGAGAGTAGCACCAAACCATTCATGAGGCATCTGTCCCTGGGATCCAAACACCTCCCACGAGGCCCCACTTCCAACACAGGGATCAAATTTCAACATGAGACTTGCTAAGGCCAAACAAACTGTATCCAAACTATAGCACCAAGGAAGAAACCTTCTTAGAAGAGGACAACTAGCTGCTGCAAGGTGAAGTAAGATGAGGCCTGAGGCTTGATCCTTGGATTTGGCCATGTTGACATTAATGGTGACTTCAATAAGAGAAGTTCCAGTGGAGAAGTGGAGCTAAAAGCCCAAGAGACTGTGACTGAACCCTACTCTTTCCATAGTGTGCCGTAAAGAGAAGGAGATAAATGGAAACAGTACTTGAAGACAAATTTGGGGTCAAGGGAAGTTGTCTTTTTTTTAAAATTAAGGTTGGAGAAATGATAATATCCCATGGGCTGAAAAAAAGTGATTTGGTTGGGAGGTAGCTATTAAAGAAATGTGAGAGTAATCCAAGTAAAAGCAGAGTAGGCCGGGCGTGGTGGCTTACGCCTGTAATCCCAGCACTTTGGGAGGCCGAGGCGGGTGGATCATGAGGTCAAGAGATTGAGAACATCCTGGTCAACAAGGTGAAACCCCGTCTCTACCAAAAATACAAAAATTAGCTGGGCATGGTGGTGCGCACCTGTAGTCCCAGCTACTCAGGAGGCTGAGGCAGGAGAATTGCTTCAACCCAGGAGGCGGAGGTTGCGGTGAGCCGAGATCATGCCATTGCACTCTAATCTGGGTAACAATAGTGAAATTCCATCTCAAAAAAAAAAAAAAAAAAAAAAAAAGCAGAGTAAATAGGTATTAAATGGGTATAAATGTTATACTTGGGTAGATGTAATAACAGGGGTTTGTGAACTTTTCCTTTTGTTTTACTTTTTTAAGTGACGTACACATCAAGGTTATCAGTTAAGAGAAAGGATGGGACAGATGATGTTGGACATTTGAGAAAAAAAGCTGTAAAAATTATAGAATGACTGACTGCAGGAGGATTATATACTCACTTGAGGTTGGTGGTCAAGAATGTAAAGTGAGTTGTACTGACATGTGATGTGTTTTTTCCTGGTTCATTCATTGTGAGTATAGAATAGGTGGAGATTTAAATGTAATCAGGTCATGATTACATCAAATGAGTACAATAAAGTGAGAGAGAGTCAAGGGAATTAAGAGTATATAAAACTAAAATTACATTCACTTATTACAGGAATTTAGCTGACTAAGGAGAGAAGAAAAATATGCAGTGGTGGTGTGGAACAGTAAAAAGTGGTAGGATCAATGAATTAGAAATCCTAGTGGAATCATTGCTGGGGTCAGGGAAGAAAACGAATATTGAAATGATAGGAGTTTATAATCAGTGAGGCTGCAGTGCAGGAAAGTGAGGTCATAGAGAAGTTGCAGTTTCTGATGATGCCTAGATCTAGGGTATGATCACAAGAATAAGAAGCTCAAGAGGGATTGTAAGACAAGACCATGGGAGGAGAGGCCAAGGTGTTAGAAAAAGCATCTATGTAGATACAAAAGTCACTAAAACCTAAGGCAGAAATGGTAAAAGAGTGACAGTGATCCATAAACTAAAATCTTAAAATGATGAAAATACATAATCTAATTTCTTTGTCACAGTCATCTTATCACTAGTCTGCTCATATTTCTTTATCTAGATTTCTTCAGTTATAGTACTCAAGTTATAACTTACTAACTGCAAATAATATCATAATTCTTCCAGGAAATCTCAAGTTAGCATTGAGAGAGATTTTCACTATCCCACTATAGGCTGATTTTAAACAGATGATAGTGGGATTGACACCATTAGATAAGCCTCCTCACACCATTTATTTTTGTTTTCCTTCTTTTATTGTATTCTTATCCAAATCTTAGACTGAAATCTATGATCTTATGTAAACAATTCATTATTTCTGCAAAATATTATGCTCTAATAAATCCATTAAATTATTATTTTAATTGTTAGTTTATATTGACTTTCAGGTATTATATTAAAATCAGAATGTTAAAGGACATATCAACTAGAAAAATGAAAAAGTTATCAAATGGTAGATAATAAGAAAGTGGAGAAAAAAATCAAATATGGACTATTTATTCAATCAGATATACTGTGATATATTAGTTTCTGAAAACAGTGTTCCTTGGTGAAATTCACATAAAACTGCAATTTGAACTCTACTAAATTAATTTCTCCCACAGATTTGAGCTCTAGTACTTAATATGCATATTGAAGACATTTATGTATAAAAATAAATGAGGCATACACATCTTCATGTCATGATAATTTTATACAAATCTGGTCATAATACACACATAGCATCATTTTGATGATGGTACTACCCAGAGTTAATGCAAAGTCAACACATCCCCCATGTATTTGAAAAATCTACAGTTACTATCCGCATATCTATGCCTTGGCATTACCATTTCTACCCCTACCTAGTACTGGCCCTTTGTTGTAATCTCCATATGAAACCTCTGATGCCTAGTGTTATCAACTAATGTTGATTCCAAAAGGTACCATTGGGATGCTGTTCTGTAAATGTTGTCAATATCCACTGCAGGATAATGCAGTCATGTCTAATGCTTGCCAAAAGTTTTTCAGTTTTGCCAAAGTGGGGAAGTTTCTTCACCCCCAAATTTGTGATACAGTCATCATGAGCTTCATAGCAATACTTATACTTTCAGTATTTGGAGGACACAATAATTTTTAAAAGCTAAATAATTTATTTAGTTTTCTTCATCTGAATTTAGCTGTGAATACACAAGGTTAGAGCCAGAGATTTACTGTTACAACAGACATACCTCCACTTTCATGCATTATTATACTTAGGAACAGATAAAGTACTCTTAAATCTCTCACCCTTTAAGGGCAATGTATTTGGCTAGGAGGTTACTTATTTCTCATGAATATAGATCTATATGTAATGAAATTATACCAGATGCCTTCCATATATGCTTAGGCTTACTGGACCCTAGAGAAAACACTGCTCTCAGGCTCAGCATCACCAAAAACCTGATAACTGTCTGGGGTATGTATTTTTTTTACATCATCAATATATAATAAAATATTTTCCTAATTAGAGATTTTTGGAATAGTCATTTGAAACCACCTTGTAGAAATGTTTTCAACAATACAGAATTGATGACAGAGCAGGCTGAATTAGCCATAGAGAATAAACATGGTCAATCATTAGTTTATTTTCAATCTCCAAATGTATTACTCAGGTTTTCGTGGATTTTATTCAACTTGACTGAGGGCAAAATGACTTACAACCTTCACTTCTGAAAGGACTACCGTTCCTTTTAGAGTAACAAAGAGATCATCCTAAGCAGAATAGCCAAATATCTAAAGATTTCTGAAGCATGAGATGTACACAGTCCATCTGTGCATAAAAAACCAGTGTACCACAAACATAATTTAATAAAAAGTCTTAGAGACAGAACACAGAAACTCCTAGGTTTGACCTATGCATTGATGAGGTCACTTACCAGATATCTCCTCCAGGCACTGCTTAGCAGTCTTACTATATGATAAGTCCATCTTTGTAGGACTGGTACAGGAGTCAGCCGATGGTAAAGAGGTACCTTCATTTTCTGAATGTGCCCTGAAATTAACCATGAAATAGAAAGAAATAGTAATTATAGACACCAGTCACTCATCAAAGCGGAAGTTCTACAGTACAAGAAAATATTAATTACAAATTTTTCATCAAGGTATTTCTTTATGACTAATATGTTCAAGACCTGTCTATGTATAGGGGAATTTTACTATTTTTCATATATAACCTAAGTGGGATTGATATGTTTAATTAGATTTCTTAGACTTGTCTAAATATGGAAGCTTATAACTATCGATAGTTGGTTAAAATTTGGGGGCAAAATATTTAAACGGATCCAACTTCTTTTGCTATTTTAGAGGAAATATGGACAAATTATGTTTTTGTGAGAATAAAGTATTAAAACCATACCTAAAATTATTTTTTACATAAAAATTTTATAAAATATTTTTAAAATATAAAATATATGTAAAAATAAATAATTTTGCTCTGGGCTATATATATAACTATGATGACTTAATTACCAAGATTTCAGAACAAGTAAAGTCAGCCAGAAACAAATTCTCATTCCTAAAAATACCTTTCATATCATCTGTTTCACATTTGTCTATGTACGTACCTGGGTATGAATTTATGTGTGTGGTTAAGTTGTAACATTTGTCTAATCAACTGGACAAGCAAAATGTGACACATATACACTATGGAATACTATGCAGCCACAAAAAACGATGAGTCTGTGTCCTTTGTAGGGACATGCATGAATATGGAAGCCATCATTGTCAGCAAATTGACACAAGAACAGAAAATCAAACACCTCATGTTCTCACTCATAGGTGGATGTTGAACAATGAGAACACATGGTCACAGGGAGGGGAGCATGACACACTGGGGTCTGTTGGTGGAGGCTAGGGGAGGGACAGCAGGTGGTGGGAAGGTTGGGAGGAATAACATGGGGAGAAATGCCAGATGTGGGTGACGAGGGGATGGAGGCAGCAAAACACCTTGCCATTGGTTTGATCATGCAGCAACCCTGAATGATCTGCACATGTACCGCAGAACCTAAAGTACAATTAAAAAAATTGGCTACTGAAAAAAAAAAAAAAGAAAGAAAGAAAAGAAGTACTCAACAAAGGTCCTCAATACTTTTGATATTCTTTTTTTCTTTTTTGGAGGCAGAGTCTCACACCATCTCCCAGGCTGGAGTGAAATGGCATAATCTTGGCTCACTGCAACCTCCACCTCCCGTGTTCAAGTGATTCTCCTTCCTCAGCCTCCCGAGTAGCTGAGATTATAACTCAGCTAATTTTTATATTTTTAGTAGAGATGGGGTATCACCATGTTGGCCAGGCTGGTCTCGAACTCCTGACCTTGGGTGTTTCACCTGCCCTGGCCTCCCTAAGTGCTGATTTACAGGCATGAGCCACCATGCCTAGCCTACTTTTGATATTCTAACCTTACTTCATGAATTGTTTCTTCCCTTTATGCACAGAGAAGTGTTTTAAGATACACTTTCTATTTGATGCAGCTTCAAAATCAATGTATATTTGACCCAAACTAACACACATTTTAAATGTTCACAGTATGAACTACTAAGACACAGAAGGCAAGCTAATATAATATAGGACTGCACAGTGAACTGTGTTCTTTATATACATCTCATTTGCCTTACTTAGAGCCCTGTTTCTAGTAGCAGGTGTGGGCTATGGCAAGTGACCTTTCAATATTTACTATTTTAAGAATATTTACAAAGAATGTTTGTGTGTAATGAAAAATTCATTATATTTTTGAATCAATGTTTAATTAACATTTTGCTTCTATTCTAAACTTGAGTTTTTGAGAGAAAAAGTGTAATCATTGTTATCTAAAATAGTTAATATTTAACTGACAGGCTTAGAAAGTGAAAAGTTCACTTAGGTTCTAAGAAAGTATGGAGAACTACATGTTGTATGTATGGATGTATGTGTTATATATGTGAATTAACATATGAAAGAAAGAACCATGCAAGAAACTTTCCTATAGAAAGTTGTGGCTTGGCCTCCAATAATTTCTGACAGACTATTCCTATTTTATTCTAGCTTAAAACTGAATACAAAGATCATAACAAAATTAAGAAGGAAAACATACTATTCAAGTGATTATAAGATATGCCATTAAGGCCAGAAAAAATACCCTCAAAGTTGCTAAACTTAAAAGATATTTTGGTCTTCAACTCATTTGACATATTGGCAGCATTTAGAACAGTAGACCCATTCCTTCCTTTATCAAACTGTCCTACCTTGGCTTTTACGGCAAAAATTCTCCAGTATGTTTCCCATATTCTGTGGATTTCACTTTATTTTTTTCTTTACATAGTCATTAAATGTTGTGGTTCTGGGTAACAGAAAAAGAAGTGGGGATACAGAGAGCAGAAACTTGGGAGTTCAGCAAAGGAACATCCTACATTTCTTCTAGTTTTTGTCTATAGTCTCTCTGGATGATCTCAATCATATTCATTATATTGGTTATTATTTATTTATGCCTGAATTCTAAAATTCTAAAATTCTAACTCTAACCCAGCACTTTCCTCTGAATTCCAGATGCGTATAAAGACTGTCTAATTGACATTTATTCTTGGTTGTCACAAAAATACGTCAGATCGATCATTTAAAGAAATGAAGTCATAATATTTTATAAACCTGGTCCTGATTCACAAAGCCCTCTGGTGAAACCCTAATGGAACTCACAAGACCTTGCATGGTTCGGTCCTGTGCAACCCATGGGATGATGATGGTCTCCAGTATCATCTCACACAAGACTCCTGTCTTTTCCTGTGGCCACAAGGGTCTTCTACCCACTTCCCATGGCTTCTGGCCTAAACAAGGTCTTTACACTTGAGTATTTCCCTCCCCACATCATCCAGTTGACTCTTTCCCTCCATGTCTTAGCTCAAGTGACTATTTCTTTAAAAATCCTCCCTAATTTCACTGATTAGGCAAAGTCTCCAATTATAAGTACTTGGTACTTAGTACTCCCTGGAACTATTTTTTACAGCACTTCATAGTCTTGTGATATGGGATCAATGTAATTAATTGATTAACATTTAACTCCCAGATTAGACCCCATTCTTCATGTTTGAACTCACCATTGTATCCCCAGTGTCCAGTCTTGTGTCAGAATATAAGTTTCCGTCAACAAATTTTTTATAAATATATGAATAAATCATATTAGCCATAATAGTAAAACAGAATTATTGGAGGGTAAAGCATATGCAAGAAAGAGTAGCATATGTGTGAAAATATTGAGTTTGGGTGTAAAACTTGGTTCCATCACGAAACAGTTATAAGCTCATATGATGTTGGCAAGTTACCTCACCTCTCTGAACCTGTTTGTTCATCTGTAAAAATAAGAAAAAATGCCCGCATTACAAAATAATTGGGAAATCAACTGTTGTTACAAAAAGACTGAAAAGGCATTCTGTTGAAGCATGTGAAATTCTGGTCAATATTAAAAGAGCAAGTATATCTGCTCTTTGTGTAGTCTGCTTCTTTCTCTTCTGGACTCCAGTTTCTTGATAATCCTCCATCTCCTGACACTCCCTCCCTATTCATTTCTAAAGTCTGCTAAGGTCTGTCCTTCCACCTGGCTTCATTTACTGTTGTCTACTCTACCCCTGCAGACCTCTTCCTTGGGCTATTGTCTCTGAATGAAGGGAAACACAATCCTCTGAAGTGTTCTAAGGATTTTTATTACTTGCTGAACAGGTTTAAATGGAGAGTATGTAGTGAAATTGTGGACCCCAGGGAACGTTGACTGGCTGCCTGCCAAGAACTGTCACAGAGGCACAGCACCTTGTTGAACTGGCTGGGAGCTAGGGTTAACCTCTAGTCCTGTAGATTTTGTATTCACAGATTCATCTTCCAGAAGCTGAGTCACATTAAGCATTTCACTGAAATATTTGTTTAAAGCCCAGTACTAATTGGTTCCTATGAGAACAAGACCAACAGCTGTCACAGAAGCCAGAATGTTTGTGGCCATGTTACTTGAACAAAAACAAGCCATGAAGAAGGATTCCCTATTTAATAAATGGTGTTGGGAAAAGTAGCTAGCCATATGCAGAAAACTGAAACTGGATCCCTTCCTTACACCTTATGCAAAAGTTAACTCAAGATGGATTGAGGACTTATATATAAGACGTAAAACCACAAAAAAACCTTAGAAGAAAACCTAGGCAATACCATTCAGAACATAGGCATAGGCAAGGACTTCATGACTAAAACACCAAAAGCAATGGCAACAAAAGCCAAAATTGACAAGTGGGGCCTAATTAAACTAAAGAGCTTCTGCACAGCACAAGAAACTATCATCAGAGTGAACAGGCAACCTACAGAATGGGAGAAAATTTTTGCAATCTTTTCATTGACAAAGGGCTAATATCCAGAATCTACAAAGAACTTAAACAAATTTACAAGAAAAATCAAACAACCCCATCAATAAGTGAGCAAAGGATTTGAATAGACACTTCTCAAAAAGAAGACATTTATGCGGCCAAAAAACATACAAAAAAAAGGCTCATGATCACTGGTCATTAGAGAAATACAAATCAAAACCACAGGGAAATACTACCTTATGCCAGTTAGAATGGCAATCATTAAAAAGTCAGGAAACAACAGATGCTGGAGAGGATATGGAAATATAGAAACACTTTTACACTGCTATGGTAGTGTAAATTAGTTCAACCATTGTGAAAGACAGTGTGGCGATTCCTCAAGGATGTAGAACCAGAAATACCATTTGACCCAGCAATTCTATTACTGGGTATATACCCAAAGAATTATAAATCATTCTACTATAAAGACATATATAAATGTATGCGTATTGTAGCACTGTTCACAGTAGGAAAGACTTGGAACCAACCAAAATGCCCATCAATGATAGACTGGATAAAGAAAATGTGGCACATATACACCATGGAATAGTGTGTAGCCATAAAAAAGAATGGCGTTGCAGGGACATAGATGAAGCTGGAAACCATCATTCTCAGCAAAATGACACAAGACCAAAAAACCAAA